TCATAAGTTCAAAATATTTAATAATAGATTAAAAAAAATTCTTTATACGTGCATATATTTTTTATAATAACATAAATAGTTTTATTAGGTAAATAAATTTGAAACACCATACCGTTCATGTCCGCACATTGTATCTCAACACTCAAACGTTTAAATATTTAGTAATAAATTAAATATTAATTTTTTACATATAATTAAATATTTTAGTATAGTAAATTTCTCTCTTATTATGCAAAATATATTTGAAAAAATCATGTATACAAAAATTATATTAATATATATATATATATATAAATTAATCTTTTAAAAAAAAATATGATGTAAAATAACTTTTAGAATAACACAGTATAAAATATTTTTATCTAATGATAAATATTAAATCAGTGAAATTACTTTTAACTTATGGTTAATTATATATTAACTAATTAATTATTAATTAAGGTAATAAATATTTTATAACACATTATAAACTATTTTTAGATATCAAATTATTGAAATGATTTTTTATTTATGGTTAATTATGTATTGGTAAATCTTATTATTTATTAAGGTTGACTTTAGTCACTCTAACTTTTAATGAGAGAATTCTGATACAAAAAGTCACTTTGCAAAATCCAAATTGTAGTATAGATAAATACAATATAGTAAAAAAGTATTGACAAATTTAAGTAGAGTTTAATTTTTTCCTCATGATGATTTCAAAGAGTCAGACTTGTATGCAATTGTTGTCAATAATCATAATTAACATTTAAAATCTCTAAGCATATTTTTCTTTATTACTATATTTATAAATGAAAATAAAAATTTGTTTCCAGTATTGTTTAACAGCTGTGATATGATACAATTGGATTACTATTATGCACCATATATGGTTATGACTAGAAAATAAAAAGTAAAAGAAAAAAAGGAAAAAATAGTATATTTTATTACTAAAAGTTATAGCTATCTTGACCAAGAAAAAGAGTTATAGCTATCCATATATAGGCATTTATCATTAACGTTGCTTTCTTTCAAATTATATTATATGTATCATCCCCATGCAGGTTCAGTAGTTCTTGAAATATCTTAGTTTGGGGTTTTATCAATGCTAGTTTATGTTTTTGGGTTTATAGTGTATCATTCTCAAGTGTTGGTCTAACATTTTATTGAAGGTTGTAAAAGGTTTATTTGAAAAATGATCGTAGGAGAGAAAGCTAGAGGTGGTTCATCATGGAGTAGGGATGATGATATTGCTTTTGAGAGCGCTCTTGCGATTTATACCGACGAGACAGATAACCGTTGGGAGAAGATTGCTGGGGTTGTTCCAGGGAAAACTGTAGAACAAGTTATAGAGCATTACGAGAGTTTACTTCATGATGTTATGAAA